CCTTTGTGTCCCTTCTTCTCATCCTGTGTCTCTCTCTCCGTGTCTGTCCTTCTCCACTCACAGGGTTTTGGGTTTGTAACTTTTGAAACTAGCTCAGATGCTGACCGAGCCCGGGAGAAGCTGAATGGGACGATCGTAGAGGGACGGAAAATTGAGGTGCTCAGATAAGTGTGCTGTAGCCGGGACGCCCCGCTTCCCGGGCTCCCACCCCAGTCCCCCTGCTGCCCTGCAGAGCGCCAGGCCAGGGTCCCTGGGACAGGACAGGGTGGGGGGCAGGCCAGGACCACGCTGAGGTGACCCCAGCCCGTCATGTGCCGGTCTTATAGGTCTAGACTTCAGGCCCACCCAAGGGAGCCCCTCCCCTCCCTCCCCTCTCCTTCCCGAAAGAGGCCCCCCAGCTGGGGGATCAGCCAGGTGCTGGGAAGACCCCAGAGAGCGTGCGTTTGAGGCTTGGCAGCTCCAAGGACCACGGGCAGTCTGGTCTGTCCTCCAGGTGGGACGGGGCCATTAACCCCCTTGCCCCACCACAGGGAGCAGCAGCTGCCCCCCACCCTTCCCGCACCCACGCTGCCATCATGTTGCAGTGTTCTCCTGCCCTTGTCCCCTGAGGGTCAGCAGCAAATGGCCAGGGCCTCGAAGGGGACCCAGCCCAGAAGAACAGCTGGGAAAGAAGGCAAGGGGTCCCCTCCTGACCCCTCTGCCTCCTCCCGGCGCCGCCCCTCCCCCGCCGTGGGCTGCGTGCCCCCGCCCCAGCGCTGTGGCTCTGGGTGTGTGGGAGCCGGGCTCCCCAGCGGGCAGGGCAGCGAGGGGCGGGCGGGGGAGAGGGTCGGCAGCTAGCACGGAGCCCACAGGGGAAGAGGGCGGGAGGGTCGGGGTGGCGGTTCAGAAGGGGCAGTGTTAGAGGCACTGACCGCGGGGCATCCAGACGCGTCCTTAGGTTCCACACCGGCCCTGGTCTCGGCCTCTTCCACAGAGTTCCTCCCCCTTCCTGCGGCCCTGTCCGGCCACCTGAGCAGCATCACCAGGGGCTTAGGTGTCTGGAGAGTAGGACCCACCCCCGGTGCCCGCCTGCCCCCCACCATTGGCCTTACCCCCCACGGGCACATGGGCCCCCTCAGAAAGCTCTGCTGGTCTCTGAGGAACGGGGTGCTGCCCCCACGGGGAGGGGCGGCCACCTTGGTGCCCACGGCTAGGAGGCGTCAGCAGCCGTCCTGGGGGTGGGTGTGCTCACTGGCCTGAGAGCACTCTGCAGAGTCCCCCAGCCAGCTTCTCCCATGACCTGCGTTTGCCAGAGAGAGGCTGGGTTTGTAGGAACAGCCACGTGGCAGTCGGGAGCCAGGGGGACTGGGCGCAGTGCCTGAGCCGAGGGCCGGGTCCTGGCCGGGCTGGACACTAGCCAGCGCTGTGAGCGGTGGTGACCCCCTCCCGGAGGCGGGAGAGGAGGCCAGGAGCAGGGCGGGCCAGGGCGGGGTCTGGCTGGCAGCAGGCGCTGTCCTGTGCCTCCTCCTGGGCACACCGGCGCCGTCTCCATGGGGGCCACGGCCGAGAAACGCAGAGCAGGCCTGGGTGGCCAGCGGCCTCCCGAGAAGCCCAACGCCCTCTCACCCTGTCGCCCCTCTCTCCGGGCAGGTCAATAATGCCACCGCCCGGGTCATGACCAACAAGAAGACTGCAAACCCCTACACCAACGGTAAGGGCCCGGGGCCCCAGGGTGCCCGCAGGGCTGCCCGCCAGACAGGCCCTGGAGGAACCCAGGCTGCTGGCCTCCGGCGATGCTGAGTGCCCCCCAATGCCAGCCCCGCCCTGTTAGGGGAGCCAGGGCGGCCCAGCCCCACCCCCACAGCTGGCGAGACTCCTGCCTGTCCCAGCGTGTGGCACCCACGCCCACGTGGGCAAGCTTTGGCATAGCAGGGTGCCGGCTGCTTCTTGGGTTATTCCTAATTCCTAAGCGCCGAGGGCGGCCTTGGGCCAAAGGTGCTGCGAGTTTACTGAGCACGATGACGGTGAGAGGGACTGTCCCCCCAGAACTCCGGAAGGCCGAGGCGCCCTGGCCGAGTCCCGTGGCTATAACGTGCCTCGGCCAAGCATCGTGCCGCACACTGCCCAGGGCGGAAGTGGCCGGCCCGGGAGAGGGAACTGCTGCTGCTGAGCGCTGGCTGCCCAGAGGAGAGGCCGAGGGACCGTCCTCTGTCACTGCGCGTTAACGCCACCAGGCGAGGCGCTGGTCTGAGTGCAGCTGGCACGGCGTTGGGCAGGGCCCTTTTGGGGTTCAGTCCCCTTGCCAGGGGCGGCAGCCCCGCTTGGTCAGGCCGACGCTCCCTGCAGGAAGTGGACTCCGACTTTCACCCTCGGTGGGGACAGAGTGGACGGAGCCACCCCGTCTCTCCCAGCCCCATGAGCGTCAGATGCTGGGCCAGCAGGATGCCTACGGCAGGACAGTGGGCAGCCGGCCACGGGCCACCCCCCGCGGGCCCTCCTCCTAGTGTCCTGAGTTAGACCAGATTGTGTGACTCCCACCCGGCTTATTCAAGGACTCTCAAAGCCCAGAGCTGCCCGGCTCTGCCAGGGTCCCGAGTGCCAGGTGGGTGTCCGTCACCTGTGCTGGGCCCGGGAAGGGACGGCAGCGGACTTCTCACGGGGTCTGGGTGATCATCAGGGCTGCACCGGAGCCAGCTGCCCGCTCTTCGCCCAGAAGCCACGTGCCCCTGACTTCTGGACCGAGAACGAGACTGAGCAGAAGCTAGCCCGAAGGACATCTTGTCACGGAACGGGCATGGAGCCCATGCCGTGTGAATGACAGGCGGGGAGAGGGAGAAGCTGCCGCTCACCGTGACAGCGTCACGTAAACATCCTCGTCGGCCGGGGCCAGAGCACGGGCTGAGCGGGCTGGGCCTGGCATCTCCAAACGCGGGCTCTGGCGGCCTAGGAGCGTGGCGGGCCCGCTTGGACACGCTGTAAGGGGCCGAGCCCTCAGACTCGTCGGCCAGTGGGCGGAAGTTCGCACTAGAAAACAAACTCACCAGGTTCCGCCAGGTGGTGCTGTTTGCAGAAGAAACAAGGGCCGCCCAGAAGAGGCTCGGGCTGCCCCTGATCTGGGGTCCCCGACAGTGCCATGGGGCCAGCTGTGACAGGTGGAGGTGCCGGGAAGCCAGAGAAACAGGCAGAGGCAGCCAAGACTCCGGAGCTGGCAGGTGGCGGCGTGGAGCCAGCTGCCGCAGCAGTTCGGCCACCAAGCAGGGACGAACCCAGGAGAGCCGCTAGGGTGGAAGCCCGGGGCATGGGGTTCCGGTCATCGGCTCCTGGACGCTGCTCCATCGTGGATTCTTACTAAGAAGACTTCGTTCTCGGGACTGGAGGTCTTCCCAGGAGATGAAACGTTTCTTCCCTGCTCACCTGACATTTATAGAAGGTGTCAGAGTCCCAGCAGTAACGTCCAGACGCAAACAACCGTGCCGTGCTGTGAGGGTGACCAGGGATGGCCGGTGGCCCCCAGACGTGTGGAGAGTGTGGACAGTGGGCCTTCAGGAGGGGCAAGGCCTCCTGCTCAGCCCAGAGGCTGTTAGAATCTGTCTTTGGGGCTCACGGGTGGAGTCTGCCACCCACCGATGGCCTGGCCTGGCCCAGCCCTTTGCCACGCTGTCCAGGCTTCAGCCGAGGCTGAGAACTGCCCACGCTATCTGGACGGCTAGGGCCAGAGCCCACTCAAGGCCAGCTGGTGCCCACCCCCAGAGGCCTCGGGTGGGAGTAGACACGCACTCGTGGCCCTGGGTCTCCGGAGGGAAAGGCAGCCTGGCCCAGAGCAGCCGCCCCTGAGAGGCCCAGCGGCAGGGAGAGGCTGGGGTGCAGCTTACGGCTGGGGGCCAGGAAGCGGCCGGGAACGCGGGTCTGGCGCCTCACTGCCGGCTTTGCATGTGGCTGTGCCACGCAACAGCTCCATGAGGCCCAGCCCTGAGCCAACGCTCGGACATCTGTAAAGTGGGAGGTGCGACCCCCACCTCAGGGGGTTCAGAAGGAGTGAGCGGCACACGGCAAAGCGCTCAGGAAGTGCCCGCACTCACTGTCCCCCATCCAAAGGCCCCCCTCCCCAGGCACCTTCTCCGGCTGCTTCCGAGAGAGGCAGGCAGGAGCGCAGCGAGGGAAGCCAGCACTGGGAAGAACGGCCCTCGGGAGCTCTGCCCAGGACCCGGACTCTGGGGCAGGGGTGGGAGGAGGTCATGGGCAGAGGCCAAGCCCGTCTGGCAGCCTCTGGCCCTCCCCGGGGGCAGCCTGGCGCCCACACCAGACAGCACGCCCACGACCGAGCTGTCACGTGCCTGAACTCATCCCTGCTGGGAGCCCGCAGACGGTTAAACGCGGTCCCATCCCGACTCTGCTGCAGAGATCACAGACCCCGAGCCTGGGGCTGGAGCTGCAGGGAAGGGGAGGCCTGGGGACGGGCTGGGGGGGCCACACCGGGAAAAGAATCAAGAAGACGCCCAGAGGGACGGTTTGGGAGAGACTCACCTGTTATTAAGACGCAGTTAGGATCCCGGCCAGTGAGGCTGTCGCATTGGAAGAGGAGGCATGGGTCAGTGTTCCCGCCTCCTCCACCCACGATGACTGCTGTGGGGGGGTCCCCACCAGTTCTCTGCAGAGGCCGTGCCCTCTCACATCCCCGCTGGGGCTCAGCCTGGCGTCTGGGGTTCCCCGGGCGCAGTCTGCAGGGGCGAGATGGAGAAGGCGGTGGTGACTAGATGCATGCGTTGCTTCTGTCCTAGGCTGGAAGCTCAACCCCGTGGTGGGCGCGGTGTACGGGCCCGAATTCTATGCAGGTAAATGCCAGACCGGTGGGGAAGCCTGCGGGGTGCTGGGCGGTCATTGGCCAGGAAGGCCAGGTGGCGGTGGCGGGGCAGGGCGGGCCGGCATGGGGTGGTCGGCACCTGTGGTCCAGCAGGCACATGGCACGTGGCTGTGATCGGGCCTGGCGTGGACAGTGTGGCTGCCCTGCCCCGCCCCGCCCGCCCTCTCACACCGTCCCCTCCCTCACCCCCTCTCCTGCAGTGACGGGGTTCCCCTACCCCACCGCCGGCACAGCCGTGGCCTATAGGGGTGCGCACTTACGGGGCCGGGGCCGGGCTGTGTACAACACGTTTCGGGCCGCGCCACCCCCGCCCCCCATCCCGACTTACGGAGCGTGAGTGTCTGGGGGTGCATGGGGAGGGAGGCGTGGAGAAAGGCCCAGGGGGTGCAGGGAGGGAAGCCTGGGCAGCCACAGGGGCTAGACAGCCTTTCCGGAACTGAGGGGTTCACTGTGCTGACCCCCAGACCTTCACAGCGCAGCCGCCTCCCGGCGTGCAGTGCCCCCACCCCCACTCTGCCACGGGAACCAAGGGTCACTGGCATGCGCGGGACATTAGAGCCCCAGTCAGATGCTTTAGAGGGGCGAGGTTGGCCCTGGCGGTCAGCGAGGGCCTTCCCTAAGCCCTCCGGGACCATTTCCCCAGGCCCAGTGCCCCCCGCCCCTGAAGGGGGACGGCTTCCCCGGGGCGGAGCGGGGCGGGGAGAGACAGGCTGCGGGGCCCCTGGGTCTGCGGCGGAAAGGAGCTGACCAGCAGGGGTGTTACTCTATTGTTATACCAAAACAGGGCACTGGAGCAAACGCTTGTTAAAATGCCAGTCCCGTGGGCAGGGCTGGCACCCTGCCCCCTCCCTCAGCAGACTGCGGAGCCGGCCTACCCCACCTCTCCAGCCTTCCCCCCACTTTCTTGTCCGTTTGCTTCCAGGGTCGTGTATCAGGATGGCTTTTATGGTGCTGAGATTTATGTAAGTGTGGCCCCGGGGGAGGGAAGGGTGCGGTCCGGGCCTCGGCTTCCTCCTGGGAGTGGTCAGCGGTCAGCGTCCTCCCCACCCCTGTCCCACTCCCCCAGGCTTGGGACCCAGGTGGACGAGGCCCCCCCCACCCCTGTGCCTGCCCAGAGAGTCACGTCCCCGGGACCTCACACAGCCGGACCTGGGCGTCCGTGCTCACGGCAGGAGCATCATGGGGCGCCCTCATCTCACGAGGCATTGTATGATAGGGCGGTGGGCAGGGCTCAGTGAGCAGGGCTCCCCGGTTCGTGACCACATTGGGGCAAGGGCAAGGCTCGGAGAGAGACCAGGAGGCAGGGGCTCAGGGCAGACCCTGGCGTGGGGTCCTGTCCCCTCTCTCCCTTCATGGGTGGCACTTACTGCTTCCTCTAGCTCAGAGCCCTGGCCGCCACCGCCACCCCACACAGGTCCCTGGTCCGATACAAGGTCCCTTTGTGCCAGGGCATGGGCCAGGGCATAGTCTGAGCCAATGCCCTTTGCTCTCAACCCTTCCCAGTGTCCAGAAGGGCACTCAGAGGCAGCCATGGGTTCTCCATGCCCGTCAGCATCCAAGTCGGGGGCAGGCTCACGGGCCTGGTGGCAGGTCTGTCGGCACCTGCGGTGCCACAGCCTCACACACAGCCAGGCACGCCGGTGCCCACCAGTGCCTGCCATGTACACAAGTCACTGAGAGCGAGCGAGTGAGGTTTACAGACACCCCGCCTCACCTCCATCCGCGAGGCCTGACCGCATAGTCCTCAGACCTCCCTTTGGCCAGAAGTCAGGTGCCCCCAGGCCCGCACCCGCCAATGTCACTGGCCAAGGTGAAGGTTGAAAGGCTGTGTCCGCCCCACTAAGCCCCTGTGTGTCTCTCCTTCCCCCTTCCCCTGCAGGGAGGCTACGCAGCCTACAGATACGCTCAGCCCGCAGCAGCCGCAGCGGCCGCAGCCTACAGCGACAGGTACCACCTAGGGGCGGGAGCTGGGCGGGACGGGGCAGGCTTACCCACTGCTCGGGGCCTGGGGGTGCCTCGCCCCAGTGGGCACAGAAGAGAGCAGGTCCGAATGGGCATGGAGACCCCAAGCCAGCAGGCCCCCCAGCTTCTATAATCACTTTGTACTTGCACAGTGGGGGCACTGTGGACCCCCCAGTTCTCGAGTAGCAAACAGTTCCTCTAAGTCTCAACCCTGGAGGCCTGACCGCCCCCCACAAGCTCTGGAGACCCCAAGTTACGGAGGTAGCCAGGAGCCTTCGCATCTGCCCTGCATGCCTCCGGTGGCCCGGAGCGCCCAGGTCCGAGACCCCTTGGCTCCGGGAAGGGCACATCGTGCCCACCCGCCTGCCCCCGGGGTGCAACAAGACCAGGTGGGCCTCGGCGCCCAGCCGTGCTCGCCTGGAGCTGGTGGGCAGCGGGCTTGGTCTCGCAGTCAGGTCCTGGGGCGTCTCGGGGGGGTGGCCCTGTGTGTATTGGCCTCTTGGCCACGTCGCCCCTGCCTGGGGAAGCGTGCCGGTCCCTGTGCGGGGCACGTGGCGGATGCTTCACGGAGGGCAGCTGTTGCTCTTGTCCACGGTGCTGGCTCTGGCCTGGGGACCGCCCGGCCGCCCTCCCAGTGGCAGGCGGCGCCCTCTGACCCACACCTTCCTCGAAGCCTCACTGCGTCTCCGGCCTGCGGGTGTTTGTCAGGCACCGCCCCCACGCTGGGCCACGTCCTCTAAGAAGCCAGTATTTCACGTGCTAATCAAGTCCCGTGAGAGGAAGGCCATCCTCCGTGGCGGTGCCCCTGCCCCCCACGGCCCCCGGTCTCCCCTCTTCTCTGGACCCCTTCCTTTCACTTTGCCGCCTTCTTTCTGGAGAGCGAGGTTCCTTTTCCCTCCAAACCAGCCCTGGGGACCCCGTTACCTCTTCCTCATGGCACCTGGCAGAACAGGTTCCCCTGGTCAGGTCAGCACACTGAACGGACCGTGTTCTGGACACTTCCTTCCAAACAGGCCAGAATGCCGGCAAGGAGGGTGTGCGGGCAGGGATGGGGGGACATTTCGGGTGGGCCCACGCCGGGGGACGCCCGGAAAACGGGAGGAGGTGGGACACTTGCTGCCACCCTCACTCGTCCCCCACCCCATGCTCCCTCCCTAGCTACGGCCGAGTCTATGCAGCAGCTGACCCCTACCACCACGCCATCGGCCCCACGGCGACCTATAGCATCGGAACCATGGTAAGGAGGCCGGGCCAGCCTGGCCCTCGGCCCCGGCTGTGGCCCGGGCGGGTGGGCAGGCCCTTAGGACGACCTAGACCTCTGACCAGTGACCCCGGCCTGGTGGCCGGGAGGACCAAGGCTCGGATTGGAATTGGAGGGGACTTGCCCCTTTGTGACCTTGCGGAGTTAGAGGGAAGTCAGCTGCCCAGCGATGACGTCTGGTCCTCTGGGGGGGCCCCCCTCCCCCCACACCAGGAAAATCAAACGAAACCTTCTCGCGGCAGAGGCTCCGGAGGCAGGGGGCCCCGCTCCCCCTCGGGTGGGTGTGTCCGTGCCCCAGTCCTGTGTCTTGTCACCCACCACCTTGCTGCACCTTTGCTCACATCAAGGGGGGAGCAAAAGCTGCCAATCGTTTCTCACCCAGGACCCCCTCCTGGACCCCTCTGTGGCTCAGGGCTGGGTCTGCAGGCTGTCTCCTGGGGAAACGGGGCCCATCCTCCCCAGCCTTGCCCACGGCCTTCAGGAGGGGTGGAGGGGCGCAGTCCTTGTGGGCCAGTGTGTCTGTCTGTGTGTGTGTGTGTGTCTGTGTGTGGCCAGCTGTCAACACATGCAGCCCAGCTCACTCTGTACCCCGAAGTCTTCCAATGCACAGCTACCAGCTGTGCCCACCCTCGCCCCCCCACCCCAGCAAGGGGCGTCAGGGTCGGTTCTCAGCCAGCTTGGCGTCCAGCATCAAAGATGGAAACGTGTGGGGGGAGGGAGGAGGTTCAGAGCCAGTATGGATTTTTTTCCACCTCCTTTGGTTTTCATTACTTCCTCCCAATTTTTGTCTTTCTTGATTTTCAAAGAGCCTCAGACATCCCGAGCAGCCTTCGGTGACTGCTGGCAGCCACAGGGAGCAGGCCTCTCCGAGGGGCACATCCCGTCCCCAGTGGAGGCCCCGAAGCTGCCGCTCACAGGGTCAGCTTGGTCCTCGAGCAGCCGCTGGCTACGGGCTTTCGTTAATTCACAGAGGGTGCCCTCTTACGTTCCCACTTTTTATTTTTAAGATTTTCTATTCCCCCCACCAACTCTTCTGGGAAAACCAGCGGGTGGGGTAGGAGGTCCCTACGGTGGCCTCCCAGACCCAGGACACGCGAGAGCAGGAGTGCCCAGAAAGCCTCCTGGAGCCGGGCGAGCAGGCGCAGCCCCTCCTGGTGGAGCCGAGGCCAGGGGACCCTGACAGGAGGGCCCCCCATGTGTGGAGGGGCCGGTCCCTCCATGCAGCAGCCCCCTGGGCGCTGAGGAGGCGGGGCTTCGCTCAGAGACCCCCAGGTGAAGGAGAAAGGGCAGTGAGGGGCCAGGCCTGAGCCAAGAGAGTCTCCGGAGGACATCTCAAACCGTGTGACAGAGGCGCCCGGCCGGAGACCCACCACCGCGCCGGAAAGGCCCCGGGCCCTCCTGCTGCCGTGACGGCCACGCCCCTTCTCCCCGAGACAGACCAGGAGGGGGCAGGAAACGGGAGTCAGCGATTTCTCTTTCGGTTTTTCCTTATTTTTCTTTTCTTTTTGCTCCCCCCCCCTCCACACACACACACCAAAAGGCGGCACTGACTGGCTGTTTCCATCTTGGATGTTGCAGGCTAGTCAGTCTCTGCCGAGGAGGGCACAGCCGCGTCACCCCCTACTAGCAAGAGGCCCAGCCCCTAACAGCATTCACTGTGGCTGCCTAGTACACACCAAACCCAGCAGTCCGAGAGCAGGCACAGCCACCAGGAGGACAGTGCACCCCTCCCGGTCAGCGACACGCGCAGCTGACCCCTGCGACTCTAAGGTCCATAGGTTTTGCCTCCAGCCAGCTGGTCTCCCCCCACGATGGCCTGTGTGTCTTTGACCCTGGTTAAGCCCTTATGTCTGAAAGCTTGGTTCCTATTTGGACTTAGTTGTCGTGCCCCCCGCCCCCCCCTGCCCCCAGCCATTTCAGGTACAGTATGCACACAGGGGGAGGGGCTCGGCTGGGCAGAGGACCTTCCCAGAGAGCTGGCACTAGAGCCACACCCACAAGGGCGACCCACGCCTCATCCCTGGGGTCTGCAGAGCCACAAAAGATGCCCGGTCCAGGAAGCCACCTCAGCCAGTCCTGGCCACAGTCCCCGCCCCTCCCCTGGGGTCCTGGGCGCCAGGGGCTCCCGTCCACCCCTCGCTGGTTCCACGGCCTCAGCAGTGCTCCCTCCCACCCTGCGCCCAGCCGGGCACAGGAGTCGCCACCTCTGCCCTCTGCCCGTCCTGCTGACGTTGCCGATTAAATTTTATCGACGGCTTTTCCCACTAGTCCTGCAGGAGCCACACCAGCCTCGGGGATTCCTTAGCGGGAAAATGTAGGAAGAAATTGTCCTGCCAGGAGGCCTGGAGGTCTCAGAGCCGTGCCCCTGGCAGTGGCTGAGCGCCCTCCCTCAGTGTCCGCCCCGCGCCCGCCGGTCCCCCCAGCAGTAGGCTGTCCCCTCTGTGCGTGCTCTACGTGGCACGCCTGAGGTGGCCCCGGCCAGCCAGGCCCTGCCGTTTGTCTCAGAGCCACAGCGCCTCCGCCCCTTCCCCTGAGCTCAGAAATGCCCTTTTATCGGGGTGCATTTCAGAGGGGGTGCCTGAAGGGGAGAGCAGGTGAGGAGCAGGGTGATGCCTGCCTCAGGCCTTCCCGGTGGGACAGCCCTCCGTGTCGGCCCCTCACGTGGAGGCTCGGTGCTCAGCTCTGCTCTCCTGGGCTCACGCCTCTGCCAGGGTGTGTGGGGCTCTGGGAGGGGCTGGGGGCTGCAGATAAAGCGGAGGCGGCCTAGGAAGCTTCTGGAAGAGTCTGCCCTCCCACACAGGCCAGGCTCTTGCCACGCACCAGCCCAGCACCTCCATTACAGGAAAGAGGCACGGGGCAAGGTAGCCCTGGGGTGCTGATGATGTGCCAGAGCCGGGCTTCGGGGGGCGGCGGCCAGCTAGGGGGCACGCGTCCCCGCCGGCCTGGCCATGCCCCGCCACCCAGTCCAGCGGCGTGTCGGTTCCCCGCTGGCGGGGTGGGCAGACCAAGCCTGGGTGCCCGGCTCCCTCGCCTCCCACTGCCCAGAGCGCCCACCGCCTTCTCGGCCGCCTCACTCCAGGCCGCCCCGTGGTCATTCACCTGGCCCCGACCTCTGCCCCACTCAGCTGTCAGCAGGGCCTGTCGGCCGGCCAGGGTCCCTGTGGCTCCTCCAAGCCTGCCCCCCACTTCTCCACCACAGTCCGTGCCCTCTGCCCCGAGCACAGACCCCTGCTCTAGACCCGGCTCACAGTGACGAGTCCTGAAGGCTGGGAGGGGGGCCAGGTCTGGGGGGCTCCGGGACTTTAGGGTGCAGCCCCAGCACCCAGCGTCCCGCCCCGAGGGGTGGCGGGCCCCGTCCTCACGACGCCGGCAGGCGCTTCCATGACGCTGCAAGTCGCGCCTTTCTGTTTCTGTTGTAGTGAGAAATCCCGCCGTTTCCTTCCTGGACCACGAAGGGCAAAAACAAAAAACACACAAAAAAATCACAAAACAAAAAACAAAACAAAAAAAGACGCTAAGATCCAAGCAACAACCAACCAACCAAACCAAGACGCACCCACCACGTCCGGTCCCACTAGCCGGCCGCCAGCGCAGTGAGGAGCAGCCGGCACCGGCGCGCCCGGCAGAGCGGGTGG